CGGCCTATGTGGGAAGAGGATCTTATCATACTTATAAATACAACTGGGCGAGCTACCCAAACGAGTGGATCTCTGGATGAAGGATATATGGGGAATTTCCTTTGGGTGTGTGCATATTTGAAGGGTTGTGGGTGAATAGTTTTGTTCTTTGTTTATTTGTTCTGCTTTGGTTGTCACTGGCTGTGACCAAACTGAAGAAGGTTCCAGGAGAGCCTTCAATCCAAGAGCACACTGAGCCTCCTCCTTGCAGCTTCAGCTAGCGGGTAGTGTGGTCCACCCAGGATCAGATCGCTAGGCACTCTCTATTGTTGTTTAATGTTGGCATGTTCCCCGGCAGGCCCGCAGAGCAGCCGCTAGTCCGACAAGGACAGCTGTGGGTCCCTGCAAGATCCCCAGGGTGGCAAGTTGGTCCCGCCATGCAGCCCGGAGAGCAGGCGGGTGGTTGCGGCGGACGTCGGAGTAAATAGACATATGGCTATACATAAAGCTAAAGATTTATTACTTAAAGAAGAGACAGAGAGACAGAGACCGAGAGACATAGAGACATAAAAACTTAGAGACAGAGGAGACATGTGTGCACACGCCGAGAGAGAGGGACAGAAAAGGAAGAGTTAAGATGGCGACCAGGAGGTCAGAAGTGGCTGGGAGTGTGCATGGCTTGCCCTTAAAGGGACCAAAGCAAAAGAATAACACTCTCCACAAGTCTCCTTCATATTCAGCTGCAGGTGCTGTCCCAGGCAAGGAAAGGGAACATCGAATGTCAGAGAGATAACCAGAGAAAACTCATGGGTGGATTCCCAGTGAGATTTCATTGCAGAAAAGCTAGAAACATAGTTGAAACATTGATTGCTTCCAGCTATAAATTTTACAACTTATTTCTTTTGCAATAATGACTATTTGCTATTAGAGATTTTATAGTTGTCTTTTCCATGCATCCATGATGCATTCCATTGTATTTAAAGTTGACTCACTTAGTGGTCTTAGGTACGTGTTACATGGACTGCATAGGGAAACCTGTATCCTCCGGAGGTTCTGGCACTTGGATGGAAAGTTAAGAATAGCCTGGGCTATTAACTAGGGCAATTTAGTAAGATCCTGAGAAACAAAAGTCTTGCATCTAACTCAGAGGTAGTGAATGAGTTGCTTCTCTCATCAATGACTAAATTTCTGGCAGAAGCACTTTAGGAAAGGAAGGTTCTATTGGGTCACAATTTGAGGATACAGTCTACCAAGTCTACCATGGCAGGGAGGTTTTGAAAGTAGGAGCATCTAGACAGTTATTCATATTCCTTCAAAGTTAGGAAAAAGGGAGGAGATGGTTGGATGGCTCTCAACCTGCCTTCCCTTTTTTGTTTTTATTCAGTCTGGAGCTCTAGTCATAGGACAGTGTTGTACACATTCAACACTGTGAGTTGAATGTGTCTTCCTCCTTGATTAAACATATTTGGTAACACCCTCTCACAACCTAGAGGGATGTTTTGATGGCAATTCTAAATCCTGTAGAGTTAAAAATTGAAACAGAGAGCTTGCCTAGACTGTAAGAGGCTCTAAGTTCAGTCATTGGTACTGCAAAGAAACAAAATGTCGTCATGCTGAGACAGGATGTGATAGTTACTCTTCACTCTCAACTTGACAACACACAGGTACATCTTTAAAGCACAAAGCAATGTTCATAATAATCAATGGTGATGGATCCTCTCCTTTTCTTAGAGAATCTATGAGCACTGTTGATCTTCTCAGTGTGGTCCAAGACCTATATTTTAAGTAATAATAATAATGATAAATGATTCAGAGATATGGACTTGAAAATATTGACATAATTAGTGTGCTTAAGGGATCACATGCTATATGCTCAAAATGGGGATGATGTGATCTTGTGTGTGTATGTATGCAGATATGTGTAAATGTATGTACATGTGATTATGGATGCAAGTGATTTGCCTCAGGCATCTTCTTCAATTAGAGTAGTAGATAATTGTTATTAATTGTTAATAGAGTTGAGTTTGGTCTCAAGGTTAACTTTCCCGTTCACCAGATACTTTCAGTTTTATGAAGTGAACATTCCTAAACTGAAGACAAGGCTTAGAGACACTGGAGCTCATGCTGAGGAGTAATAGTGTTTCAGAGACACTATCTATTTTTATTTCCTTAGAAATTATAAATTAGGATGCTAAATGCTTGAATTAGGTGGGTAGAAACTGCTCTGTGAATATGAGAGGCTTATCACTTTCAAACTGACCCAGAGACAGTTGTGTTCTGAAAATATTAAATTGAGAAGTCTAGGGACTAAAATAAAAATGTTTCAAATAACTTTTAATATAGCACTTTTATAATTGTTCTGATTTTGCTATCAAGAGTAATTTCTTATTGTGCCTAATTTTAAAAGCTACTTTTAAATTTCCCTATTTTTTACTTCAAATGGCCAAAATGAAAACTGCTAACCTAATTTTATAAGCTCAATCTGGCATATGAAAACATTTCTACCAACCTTTTCCTATCAAAGGTATTCATGAAATATAGCAATAATATTTAGCAAGAATAATTAGTATCTAATTCAAAATCTCTAAGAAAGTCACTTCTTGTTTTTATTTTATGGATATGGGTATTTGCTAGCATGTATGTATATAGGTGGACCTTCGGATACCTGATGCATCATAAGCCAGAAGCTGTTGGATTCCCTGAAAGTGGAGTTACAGACAGGTGTGAGCTACCATATGGGTGCTGGGACCCAACCCCATGTCCTTTAGAAGAGTACCCAGTGCTCATAGTAAACAATAAGCATTTCTAAGCCCTCAGGGAACCTGTCTGGATTAGACATCGCCACTTGATTTAAAGCATCTTTTGTCTTGTTTTGTTTTTGTTTTTGTTTTGAGACAGGGTTTTTCTCTGTCTAACAGTTCTAGCTATCTGGAACTAGCTCTTGTAGACCAGGTGAGCCTTAAACTCACAGAGATCCACCTGCTTCTGCCTCCTGAGTGCTGGGATTAAAGACACGGACCACCGCTGCCTGGTAAGATTTAAAGTCTTTAAATAAAACGTTAACTTGATATATAAATAATAATGATGTTTGACAGAATGTAGGATATTTTTAGAAAAATAAAAAAGGAAATCATATTTGTGTTGGTTTAATTGTGCGTGTGTGCGCACGGGCGTGTGTACAGGGATATTTTTTAAATGATTCCTTCTTATTGCTTTGATTTTTTAAAGTCTTTAGATAGGTATATGTGTATGGGGTAAATCTATGTAGGAGTCAGTTACATGCAACTTGAAGTAGTCATAGGGGTCTCAGAATAGAACACATCTCAGTAAAAGACAGGGGCTGGAGCATGTTTCCCTTCTGCCAAGCCACTCTCGGGACAAACATCTTCAACCAATGTCTCATCCTGACTCATTGTGATGAAGATGAACGTCATATTCAGTTCACTTGCTTAAGAGGTATGGGATTCCCTTCAGAGAAGGAAACACTTCTCACTTCTCATGTCATTTTTTGTTCTCATGCCTGCATTCTTTGCTCTTTACAAAGTGTCAGTTTTTTGAAATACAATGACAGCACGTGCTCAGCCTTGGGTCAAGGACTGTAAACTAGCCATGAGGTATGCCGTCTGATGAATGTAGCATCTCTGTGCTCTTAGGAAGATGGTTCTTGGAGAGGCATGGACCTTGCTTTGTATAGCTTGTGGTTTGTCCTACAGGATGATTAGATGACTCGTCTCTTTTATCTCCTCGTTCTACTCTTCACTTTGATTCCAAGTCTACACAGACATAGAATACTTAAGTGAAAAATAAAAGAAAATCCAACATAATTTCAGTCGCATTCATATTTCAAAGGTTTAAATTTATGGTTCAAGGGTTATCACTACAGGAACTACAGGGATGGAAATGATCAGAATCATCCTGCAGCTCTGAGGTTTATTTATTAATTTGCTTGCTTATTTATTTTCATAGTCAGCCACATGAAATGTTTCTAACTTCCAGTGTGACTTGGGCATGCAGGATGTGTTAGGTGTGGGGCTGTATTCACCTGAGCCCCGAAGAAAAAGAATAGGTTTGCACCACTCCTGTCACAGAAGAAAGGACTTACAGGAACTCAACAGTGGGCGTTGAAGCTTATTTTGTTTGTTTGTTTTAAACCACAAATCCGTTTGTGCTGGTTCTATTTGACTGTCTTTTTGTTTTGTTGTTGTGGTTATTTTCTTTGGTATGTGTATGGGTGTTTGGGCAACATGTCTGTCTCTACACCACATCTGTGCTTAGTGCCTATTTTTTTTTTTAGAAAAAAACTTTCTGCTGAAACAAGGGTATTAGAAATAATATTTACTTTGAGAATCTATGAGGTTTTAGTGATCAATAACTTGACCACTAATGTTATAAAAAAGAATCTTCTTCATATAAAAGATTTGTACTTCATTTTGGGCACTTCTGGCTCTGAATCACTGGGAGACAGGATGGGTTCCCTGGGATTCTCAGAAAGTAACATACAGCTAATACCAAATCATCACTTTGACTTAAGTTAAGAATTCTACTGCCTTTTTCGGATCTCAAAAGACATTTCACCTTCATGTGGTGGTACATACTTATGATCTCTGTAGGCTGGAATCAGGAGTTCAAGGCTAGCTTCAGTTACAGGACTCTCACTTCAAAAAGAGCATACACACACACACACACACACACACACACACACACACACACACACACACTTGAAAAAAAGATGCCAGAATCTCTCTTTTGCAATGTTTACAGCAGGAAAAAAAAACCAAACTGAATTTAACAGCTCCTCCCACAAATCAGCTGCTTCTTTAGATGTTGGGTATTCTCCCTGTGTTACTAATTCTGGGACAAAAAGAAGTCTTCAGCAGTGACTCTTATGATCAGTGAGTCAATGGGAAGGTACAATTCCCGCCTCAGTCTGCTCTTCCAAATCCATACCAATGAAGCATACCATCTCCAGAAAGCACATCTTCCATTTCCCATATGCATTAATCAAGAGTAGCACCACTCACTTTTCCATTGCACCAGCGGATAAAGTTGAGCACAGCCTACAGATGGGTTACTGGTCTTCTCCCAACACATCTTGATAGGACCTCTCAGTTCTCATCAGGAGGATCAACATGCAACCATTTTTCTACTTGTCTCACTTCAAGGACTCTGCACAGCCTGGTTGGCAAGAAAAAAAAAAACAATTCTGATATTAGAGGATAGGTTTAACGCAAGGTTTGCTATGAGCTTTGCTTTTCAGAAGACCAATAAGTCAAGCCCAGATCTGAAATTAAGAATGTAGGAGTACTAGAACAAACAAAGTAATGGGGGGCAGATGTGCTAAATTGCAAAGAAATACACTCTACTGATGTTTCAGGTAATTAGTTAATGTGGAGAATTTGCGTTAAGAATTAGAGCATAAGAAACATTAACTGTAGAAACAAGTGAAAATACACACCTAATATTTAAGAAGAAATGAAATATACTTTGAGAAATGACAGGGAATGGCTTAAAATTGTATTTTGATAATTGTAGTGAAATTGTAGTGGCAAAATACATCCCGTGTTAGTTTATTCGCTCGATGTTTTTGCAAAGAAAACTATAGGAACAGGGAGAGGTAATGAACAGGCAAGAACCTTGTGGATTGGTCAAAGTGCTCTTTATCTTGATGATGGTGGTAAGTAAATGACTGTATCCATTCTCTAAAGCTTGCAACACCAAAATTAGAAAAGATCAAGTTGTGGTATTTTAATTATATTTTTTAAATTAAAAAAATTGTAATTGGGGAACTATTTGGAGTGAAAATGAAAGACAGATTATTAAATCTAGCATTAGCCTGATTTCTTTGTCTGGTGGAATCGGGTTGTTAGGGGAACCAGGGTCTTAAAGGACAGGTCTGAGAGGCAGACCTCCCCAGCACTTGGGGCATCACAGGTGTGACCCCAGTAACTTGACTCACATCAGGAAGACCCCAGTCTTTGACACAACCAGTTTCTTTGCTAACTCTACTACGTCATCATTCTACTGCCAATTCCAGGAAAAAAAGGCCCGTTTTTAAATGCTGAGTGCAAATAGGCAATTATACTTCTGTGGAGTTGGCATGGCACCTATAATGTCTGTTTAATGATGTCCTATTGCTTTCATCTTGAACACTCATTGAGGCTCACGGTCTGGCTATTTCTGTCCTCAATGTGTACTTGCCTCGAAGTAAATTTTGAAAATGAGAAAAAGAGCCTAGAAAATAAATTTGTCTTCCTGGGATGCAATCTATCTCTTAATATATGGTACTTGGTTTGGCATTTCAGGTTTTTATCTTATCCTTAGTCTGTTTTTGTTTTATAAAAACGGGAATTAATTTTGAACATATTACATGCTAAGCCCTGATAAAAGTCAGTCAAAACCCCAAGGAGTTTCTATTGTAACTATCATGAATATTTCATTCACATACATGTGAATATATGTATATACGTGTGTGTGTGTGTGTGTATAATAACTTAAATATTTAAAATTTGTTCCTTGTTTGCCACTTAACAATCTATGTTTGTAATTACCCAGAGAGGCACAATCATGTTGTGGTAACAAGTGATCCTGTGTCTGAGCTGTTTCTTTTTCACTTAGGTAGATCCAGACATACATCCAAGGCAGCTGTCACTCCCATGACTACGTGAGTGACATTCCAGGTCTTGGCAGTTCCTGGTCCATGGCTTCTCCAGGTCAGCCCACCCTTCTACAATCACTGTACACTGTGTCACAATGCTTGACAGAAGCAATTTAGGGAGGAAGGGTTTATTCTGACTCATGGTTCAGGATGTACTGACGTGGCCGGCGCTGTTCTGGCACCAGGCACAGGCCGTGTGACACCAGCACATCTCTATAGATCAGGGACAAAGAGAGAACTCAACCGAAGTGGAGCCTGGAACATTCCAGCTCCACTCTTATGTCCCTATCTGCCAACGAGGCCCCATGTCCAAAGATTCCACAAACAGTGCCACTAGCTGGGGACCAGCTATTCAAATACATGAGCCATACAACCTCTGAGACAGAATGTGTACCTCCCAGTAAATGGAAGTTTCTCATAAAAGTCATTTACATCGTCTTTGTCACATGTTATTAGCCAAACTAAACCCTCTGTCAAACAATACTTGAGAGGCCAAGAAGATCTCGACTTTGATTAATACAAGAGTAAAGACATTAAAGAGCATAGAAATGTTTGCCACTCACAGATAAAATCATACCATGTACCCATACATTCAAATGCATACATACTAATGGATAGATTTAACATTTATTGGTGATTGGTCTTGTCATTGCTTTTATTAACCAAAGAAAATTAATAGATTTTTCTAACATACAAATATAAAATGACTGTTGTGTCTATAGCACACATAAGCCTCACAACACTTCTGGCTCAAGACGACACACATACACATTTAAATAGCAGAAATATTAGGAATCAGTTGAAGCAACAGAAAATAATCACAATCAATATGTATCTGTCTGTGTTCAAAGTGAACTCAATAATTTAACATAAGGAAATGGAGCATACAACTACAGCACATGATAGTTCTTTGGGGTAAACATTTCCCAGTTATGAAGCCGTTTCATAGAATTAGCATCATTAACTCATTTTCTGTGTGTTTTGCTTTCCAATTTCTAGAAAACATGTCATGATATTTTATGTAATAGTTTAGGAATCATTTAGTTCCTTCATGTAACATTTCCCATGCTGTCACTGCTGTTGGTGAGTTTACAGGACCTCCCTGTTTTGACCAATGCTATAGTTGGACAAGTTCCCATACACTACCGAGCATTAGCCTCAAGACCATTGTCTGCTTAGTCTATCTGTTGCTTCTCACATCCACCATTAAAGACTGTACAAAAAGAGCTCTTGACCCTGTAGCTTATGCCCCAGTAGGAAGAGCTGGGGACCAGATCATGAGCATCAGAGAGTATCTGGCCCCAGGTGCATGAAAGACACATGGAACAGACTTTAACTCAACTTGAACCTGGAGCACAGAGCAAAGTCTTAACCCAGCAAGGAGCAGTTAACCACAGACGGCTGAGCAATAGAGTAGATCCTTTGTTAAGCCTTGGAGTTTTGGGGTGACTTATTTTAGAGTAGTATTTCAGGAAAACTTAGCTGATACATTAGTCAAAGGCAAGCATTTGGGAGCAAGCCTGCTGGAGTCACTTTAGTTAAGGATATGCAAGTGATTATAAATTAATTATTCACTTCATCATTTAAAAATTAAGCAAAGTTTTATGAGCTATATAATATGTCTAGAATATTTTTTTTTGGAAACTGAGCTGTCTTTAATTAGCTGCTATTTGAGGAACATACCCATCCTTGTATGTATTCTAGTATTTTCAGTTGTTCTGGTTAAGCAATCATAACTTTATTCATCTGTCTGTCAAGCTCCTCGGCATTGAAATGAAGTGAAGATTAGAGAACAATTGATTTTAAAACCTCACTGAAAATTTAGGATAGGAGTAACATTGGAAGGTACATAGAGACCAGGTGCCCACATTGCAGCTCTCAGAGCATTCTGGGAGGAGAGGAGCTGAGCTAAAAGATGATGATGTCTTCAAAGGGCTAATAAGTGTCTACATTCCTCCCCTGACAGTTTATTGAAACAAAACTGACGTGCAGTAGGGTCACAAATTAATAAAGTGTATACCATGATAGGCTTTGATGTGAGCATGTACGACTGCAGCCATCCTCAGAGTCAGAATGGTGAACATGCCTGTCATCCATGTAGGCATGCATTGATGGTCTCCAATCCCTTGTGTCTCTCCTCCTCATTGTTGGTAAAATTAATTTTCAGTTTGTACTGTGGGCTTGAAATTTATCATGCTCCTGGTGCATCTGACAAAAATGAATCCCAAGGATTGCCGTGTTTCTTAAATATTTAATGAAACTACCTACTAATGTGTATTTGAGGCATGTAAACTTACATGTGTTACTTTTAAACCTTTGATGTAAAAGGGGGAAAATAATCTGACCTAACATATATCTGAAAGCCACACCAAGGACATCACCAAGTTTGTTGAGCAAATAATTAAGACATGAAGAAGAGGAATAAACTTCTTGAGATCAGGAATCACAACTTTTATATGAATTGTGCTATTAAATAATTTTTGTATTGGTGGTATGTGTGTATTTCTTGTTATTTTATATAGTTGGTGTGAAATAAATGCTACCTGGAATAAATGATTCATATGTAAAGAATTTTTATAGTAAAATGACTAAGGATAAGATAGACTCAATTGGGATGAAGAGGTTTAGAAATTAGTGTATTAATGCCCACGGTAAATTTTAACTGCAATAATGGAAATAGCATTTCTCAAAGTGGTGTTTTCTTGGAACTCTTTCTGCTCATGCAATTGTCAACACTTCTCATGTGTGGTATTCCTTGGGGGAGAGAAAAAGGGAGAGAGAGAGAGAGAGAGAGAGAAATAGAGAGAGAGAGAGAGAAAGGAAAGAGAGAGAGAGAGAGCATGTGCATACTGATGTATCTTGTTTTCTTTATACAAAAAATTAAAGCCTTCTCCATTTTACTCTTAAACCGTAAGAAATAAGAACATCACAAGCAAAACTCACTTATTAAGGCCACTTTAACCCTCTGTAGATATACTTTGTGTCTGATAAGTAATATGTGATCTGGGAGTTAATATTAGCAATTAATACTGGAATCGATTCCCCAATATCCATATGAAAAACCCAAGCAAGGAGGCATGTATCTGTAACCCCAGTACTGAGAGGCCAAGAGCAGGCACACATATGCACACACACACATAAGAATACATGCACATTGGGCTTAGTGGCACATGTCTTTAGTCCCAGCCCTCATAAGTAGAGGCAGATGGAACTCTGTGAGTTGAAGGCCAGCCTAGTCTATGTAGTGAGTTTCAGGACAGCCAGTGCTATGTAGAGAGATCCTGTCTCAAACAAACAAAAAAGAACACATGCACAAATGTGTGTGGGCAAGAATTTTTAAACAACTGATCATATACACTTATTTTGATGGTTATACACATTCCATCACTAAATGTGAAAAAAGGCAAGACTTATTAAATACATAATGAAATATAACTTCCCAACATAGGAGTGGCATTGACAATAATTGAGATAATATTAGTTTCGAAAGCAAGTCCATTTTTTAATACTCAATGTAACA